CGGCCGAGACCGCCTTCCACCTGGAAACCAATGCCCTCACTGCAGAAGAAGATGCAGAGCAAGAATAGGGCTCCACAGCCACATACGGACCCACAAGAATATTGGAAGACAATCATCCTCGGAAAGCGAGGGATCACCTAAGTAAGTAAGTAAGTAAGTAAGTGTCTAGATCCAGAAAAGTCATGCTACCCCTCTATCCTGCCTTGGTTAGACCACACCTGGAATATTGTGTCCAATTCTGGGCACCACAATTGAAGAGAGATGTTGACAAGCTGGAATGCGTCCAGAGGAGGGCAACTAAAATGATCAAGGGTCTGGAGAACAAGCCCTATGAGGAACGGCTTACAAAATTGGGCATGTTTAGCCTGAAGAAGAGAAGGAAGTCATAGAGAGGAGGGAGCAAACTTGTTTTCTGCTGCCCTGGAGACTAGGACACAGAGCAATGGCTTCAAACTACAAGAAAGGAGATGCCATCTGAACATTAGGAAGAACTTCCTGACTGTGAAAGCTGTTCAGCAGTGGAACTCTCTGCCCCGGAGTGTGGTAGAGGCTCCTTCTTTGGAAGTTTTTAAACAGAGGCGGGATGGCCATCTGTCGGGGGTGCTTTGATTGCAATTTTCCTGTTTCTTGGCAAAGGGTTGAACTGGATGGCCCATGAGGTCTCTTCCAACTCTATGATTCTATGATTCTATGTTATTGTGGCATCGAATTGTTGCCAATATAATAATAATAATAATAATAATAATAATAATAATAATCCTTTATTTATACCCCGCTAACATCTCACGAAGGACTCAGTGCGGCTTACAAGAGGCCGAGGCCCAACACGTTAATAAAACAACAACATAACAAATACAACAATAAATAAACTCATAAAACAAGCAATAAACATTAAAACAATAGCAATAAATATTAGACAAGAACACCACAATGCATTTAAAACTAAGGTCAGGCCAAATGTAATGATTAAAATTTTAAAAATGCTGAGCATGACAGGTGAGATGGATAGGTTTTTGGAGATAGGTGCGGTGTGCAGACAATCTTAAATCTCTAGTAAAGTGCATTTGGGACATGATGCTAGGAGTCTCCTATTCTGGGAAGGCACACTGGAACAACCAAGTCTTCAAGCTCTTCCTAAAGACTGCCAATGTTGGGGCTTGTTTGATGTCCTTGGGGAGAGAGTTCAGGAGTTGGGGAGCCACCACGGAGAAGGCCCTGTCCCTCGTCCCCACCAATCGCGCTTGCAATTGTTAGCTGCTCTGAGTCCCCCCTCGGCAGTTGAGAAGGGCAGGGTAGAAATGTTGTAATTAATTAATTAATTAATCTGAATTCTCTGTTCCACAAGGTGATTCTGACAATAAAACAGGATAGTTCCATATATGCTGCGAGCACTTGTGAAAAGGGAAAGGGGTGAAACAAAGTAAACAAATGTTGTGATGTTAACGTGAAGACACCTGTGTTTGAAAGTGGGTGAGATTTCATTGTAGAAATGGAATTAGCATCAGCGTACTTACTGTATTTATTCAATTGTTTTTTTGACTAAATTACCTCCCCCAAATCAGGCTGCACATTAGATTTGTGTAATATGGTAAATACTTTTGGGGTTTTCAGAGTTTTGAACACTGAGGTGCACGTTCAATGACGCATTAGACTCGAGTAAATACTGGTGGTCCTCTTGCATCAAGCGTAGCTGCATTTTAGTTGAACAACACAGTGTTACTGTCTGATATATGGGAAGGGTATGTTTATGTTCTCGACATGCTTCCAGCTTGGCTGTTGCTCAGCTTGCTGACTCTCAGAGATCAAATTGTCAGTGTTTTTAGCCAAGAAATTAATGCACATATGATTCCAGTGCCTTAACATTATTCTCTTCTTTGTTGGCTCACTGTAGTTGAAAATGACTAAAGATGCTGAGGGATTCCCTTTGGGGATTCAGGATGCCAAGATAAATAGTGATAGTGGAAGAGAGAGAGGGAGCTGGCAGAGACCTTCCTTATGAAAAGTCCACCTCCCCCTCAAATGGGGCCTGCAGGCAATGAGTGCATGGATTGTAAACAATATAACCAATTCCGACATTTTTTCTCACTGTGGCTGGCAAAGATTTTTCACAAAAGATCACATTGGTCCAAAAGGTCCCTTTGCCTAAAACCCTCACTTTCTTATCACATAGCCAGACAGCAAAAGATTCCAGAATGGGAGATTAATTATTTTCTATCTTATTTCTATCTTTGCCTGATCAAGATCCCATCACACAATGTAATTACATCATGATTAACAATCTTCCTTAACAATCTTTTCTGATACCAGGCAAGATTCTGGAAAAGATTGTTAAGGAAGTGGTCTGCAAACACTTAGAAACAAATGCAGTCATCGCTAAAAGTCAACATGGATTTATCAAAAACAAGTCATGCCAGACTAATCTGATCTCTTTTTTCGATAGGGTTACAAGCTAGGTAGATGCGGGGAATGCCGTGGATGTAGCGTACCTGGATTTCAGTAAGGTCTTCGACAAGGTCCCCCACGACCTTCTGGCAAGGAAACTAGTCCAATGTGGGCTAGGCAAAACTACGGTGAGGTGGATCAGTAATTGGTTAAATGGGCGAACCCAGAGGGGTGCTCACTAATGCTTCCTCTTCATCTTGGAAAGAAGTGACGAGTGGAGTGCCGCAGGGTTCCGTTCTGGGCCCGGTCCTGTTCAACATCTTTATTAATGATTAGATGAAGGGCTAGAAGGCAGGATCATCAAGTTTGCAGATGACACCAAATTGGGAGGGATAGCCAATACTCCAGAGGATAGGAGCAGGATTCAAAATGACCTTGACAGATTAGAGAGATGGGCCAAAACTAACAAAATGAAGTTCAACAGGGACAAATGCAAGATACTCCACTTTGGCAGGAAAAACGAAATGCAAAGATACAAAATGGGGGACAATGCCTGGCTCGAGAGCAGTACGTGTGAAAAAGATCTTGGAGTCCTCGTGGACAACAAGTTAAACATGAGCCAACAATGTGATGTGGCGGCAAAAAAAGCCAATGGGATTTTGGCCTGCATCAATAGGAGCATAGTGTCTAGATCTAGGGAAGTAATGCTACCCCTCTATTCCGCTTTGGTTAGACCACACCTGGAATATTGTGTTCAATTCTGGGCACCACAATTCAAGAGAGATATTGACAAGCTGGAATGTGTCCAGAGGAGGGCGACTAAAATGATCAATGGTCTGGAGAACAAGCCCTATGAGGAGCAGCTTAAGGAGCTGGGCATGTTTAGCCTGAAGAAGAGAAGGCTGAGAGGAGATATGATAGCCATGTATAAATATGTGAGAGGAAGCCACAGGGAGGAGGGAGCAAGCTTGTTTTCTGCTTCCTGGAGACTAGGACGCGAACAATGGCTTAAAACTACAAGAGAGGAGATTCCATCTGAACATGAGGAAGAACTTCCTGACTGTGAGAGCCGTTCAGCAGTGGAACTCTCTGCCCCGGAGTGTGGTGGAGGCTCCTTTTTTGGAAGCTTTTAAACAGAGATTGGATGGCCATCTGTCAGGGGAGCTTTGAATGCACTTTTCCTGCTTCTTGGCAGGGGGTTGGACTGGATGGCCCTGGAGGTCTTTTCCAACTGTAGGATTCTATGCCCATCTCCAACTGAGGGGGATCAGATGGGGGAAGCATGAATTAGCATGGTGTGCGCAGCTTCCCCCATTGCATCCCAAGTCAGGAGCCCTTCCGTGTTGCCCTGGCGGTGGCATGCACTGGCTCTGCCCTCCTTCACTCATGGAGTCACCCTGGCATCATGTGATGGAAGCTAGCCGGCTTAGTGGGTGACGGGCTAAATTGGTACATGCTGCCGAATTTAGCTCTGTGTGAAGAGGTCATAAATTAGTATATGGGTTGTGTATGTCTGAGATAAATCAATAACATTCAGACACAACTTGTGTGGTTGCCAGGTCTTTAACTTGAACATCTCCCAGTTGGCCTAAGGGTCAACCACAATTAATTCAACATTCTATCTTTCAACCTATTTTTGTTATATGAAAATTAGCCTGTTTAGAAGTGATCTTCAGAAGTACCATCAGTGTTGACCAATGCATTGACTAGTCCTGTGACCTAGTCAGTGACCCTGGAAGGACTGAAAGGAAACTCATGAAAGCCCTCTCATTGCTGGAGGTGAAAGCTGGCTATTCATGAACCCATGGACCCATTCACTCAGTTAACTGTCAAATGAATTACAGCAGTCTCCAATCACCCTTGGGCTTCATTATCTGTTGTTGACATGATATTAAACAAAGTTTGTATATCTCCTTGCAATGGAAGGATTATACTGTAACTACCTCTATGATGTTTTGATGGTCCATCATTGTACTGACTTTCAATGTTGTTTATTTTGACAAAGTCCGTAACTGAGACTAAATTACACGAATGCTTATATCCATTTCTATTTTTTAAAATGATATTGAAGAAGTCAATTATTTTATGCATCATTACACAAATGCAGTGCAATCCCCTTATGTACAGATTTTATATCCACAGCTTTACCCTTTTATCGTCCAGGGTGGACATTCCTTAGCAGGCAAGTTGATTTGGACAGGTTCTGTGAAAGAAGAAAGTTTTGGAACTGCTGACCTAGCACAAATTTAACTTTGGAATAAGCCGTATACTTAGTCCTTCATTGCATCTTTGAACATCAGAAGTTGTTTTATAATAAGTCTTATTACTAGTCAATCTAATTCAGTATTGTATGTATTAAATGGCAGGAACTCTTTAACATTTCAGAAAATAGTCTTTTCTAATCCTATCCAGAGGTACCGCAACCTTCTCCATGCAAAGCATGTGGTCTAATCCTTCCTTGAGTTTGAAAAATGCACAGAGGAAAGGATAAATTCAGTGAAAATATGGAATTCTTGCTTATGGAACAGCATTATTTCAGGTTTTGTCCAGCAGGGGGACCCTTTGAACTGTTACTCTTAATTAGAAAACCAGGTCAAAAGATGGGGAGGCGACCTTACCTGTGAATCCTAAAGGACAGTGGCACATGTAACCTGATGCTGTGTGGTAGCTGAACTCTGAAGGTAGATCTGGAATTTTTCCATACCAGCTTGACCGTGACAGTTCCACACATTCACTCCCATGGCGGCATGGATTACTGTGACACTCGTCTATGTCGACTTCACAATGTGACCCTGTAAAGCCTGTGTAATTGAAAAAGGGTTGGAAATATTATTGTCTGTAAGAGTATTAAACATTAACTGAAGGAAACAGTAATATTATCAGCATTAAAAGGTAAAGGTAGTCCCCTGACATTAAGTCCAGTCATGTCTGACTCTGGGGTGTGGTGCTCATCTCCATTTCTAAGCCGAAGAGCCAGCGTTGTCCGTAGACACCTCCAAGGTCATGTGGCTGGCATGACTGCATGAAGCGCCGTTACCTTCCCGCCGGAGCGGTACCTATTGATCTACTCACATTTGCATGTTTTCGAACTGCTAGGTTGGCAGAAGCTAGGGCTGACAGCGGAAGCTCACGCCGCTCCCCGGAATCGAACCTGCGACCTTTCGATCAACAAGCTCAGCAGCTCAGTGCTTTAACCCACTGCGCCACCGGGGGCTCCATTATCAGCATTAAAAGCAATATAATCTTTCAATAAGGACAATGCTACAGAATGTTTGAAACACGTGGAAGGATGAAGCAAGACAACAGATTACAGAAAGTGCTGCCTTTCGGGTTGTGTGTAGTCCTTTTTAGAGCCACCAAAGTGAATTGATACTTTCCCAAATTCCCAGACATCTCAATTTAGAGTGGTTTTTTTTTGTTAATATTTGGTTTGTAAATTATCCTAACCATGTCCAAACTGCCCATGAAAAAAGTGGGAATGTTAAATAGCCTCTGTGTGTCTGTCTATATATGTCATGTGTCTATGGCATTGAATATTTGCCGTGTATATATACATTGTAATTTGCCCTGAGTGCCCTGTGGGGTGAGAAGGTTGGCTCTGGCCCAATGTATCTGTCCGAACGGATCTCCCTCTACGTCCCTCCCCAGAGTTTAAGATCGGCTGGGGGGGGGGCCCTGCTCTCGACCCCGCCAGTAGCACAAGTGAGGCTAGCGGGGACGAGGAGCAGGGCCTTCTCGGTGGCGGCCCCCTGCCTGTGGAACTCGCTCCTGGGGGAAATCAGAACAGCGACCTCACTTCTCTCTTTCAGGAAAAAACTGAAAACATGGCTTTGGGACCAAGCGTTTGGCCAATAGTGTAGGCAAAGAAAGGATTGATATTGCCTAGGAAATGTCTAATGGAACAGAATCTGGAACCCGAAAGACAAATGCTGAATCACGTGAGTAGTTTTATATAATGCGGTTTGATTGCCTTGTGTGTTTAACTGTAATAATTACTTTACTTGTTTTAACTATGTTTTTATTATATGTAACTGTAACTGTATAGACATCATTTGGGGCCTTGTTGTGTAAGCCGCCCTGAGTCCCCCCTCGGGAGTTGAGAAGGGCAGGGTAAAAGTAACGGAAATAAATAAATAAATATAAATACTGTAAATAAATAAATAAACAGAGGTCAGATATTCCAGAATTTTGGCTATTGTGGCAAATTCTTTGTGAAAACCTTTGAAAATCTTTTCCCACCAGAAAAATGTTGAATAGACTCTATGGTGCTTGCAAGAAAATGCAGAGCTTACCTGCCCAGCAATGGCATATGTAACTCTCCACGGTATCTTCACAGGTTGCATTGTTATAGCATGGATTTGACCAGCAGAAGGGAATTAACATTTCACAGTGTAGGCCCATGAATCCACTCTCTGTACAGTTGCAGGTATATCTGCATTCCAATCAAAATAAAAATTAAAAAGTGGCATCATCCTTACGTCTCAAAAGCAGAATTTTTGGCAACTTGGCATTCTTCTCAGTTTTATACAATGCTTTTTAGCTCCAGAAGTGTTGCGCCTAGACCAGGCCCATAACCCGGGGGGGGGGGGGGGCTTGAGGGGCTTCAGCCCCCCCCCCCCAAATTCTCATGTTGGTCCACGAGAAGGCCTTACTGGTACATTAAACTGTTATGTTTATTCATATCATGATCTGATCACCATGCTCAATATATCCCATATGCATGGGGGTATTGAGATAATGATACAAAAGGCTTGCAAGGGTAGATCCTGACTCCCCCCCCCCCCCCCCGAATCAAAATCCTGGCTACGGGCCTGGCCTAGGCTTAGTGGTCTAATGTAGGAGTGAGGAACATTTCTTCTATCGGTGGCCACGTTTCCTTGGGGAGTGTAATTTGTGTGTGAAAGGGTGTGTGTGTACAACTTTGTATTGGGGTATAGCAAAAGCAAAAATGAACCCTTCACTTTCCCTTTTGTACACATGCTATGTGTTATGCTTTGATAGCGTCTGACTGGGAGAAAATTCTCTTGCCAGTGTAATTGAATATTGCTTCATTTACTTCCTACCAAAGAGACAGACAGACACACACTCACAAACATAGATTTTGTATATGCTCTCAGTAGAGAAAGTTCTTATGAGCCTAGTCACTCCGATTAACCCAATGTTTTGCAATCTCTGGGCCCAACAAGAATGTTTGTTTCATAATTGACGATCCTCTAAATTTTGAAACTGGAACATTTAGTTGTTCAACTTCACTTTTCAAAATGCATATTTATGCAGACATGTACTCAAACGTGTACTCACCCACCATCAGAATTGAGTCAATGTGTAGCAGTTGAATGTTTGACAAGGGGACCATCTACACTGCAGAATTAATGTTGTTTGTGAAAACTTTAACTCAATGCTATGGAATTCTTGGAGTTGTAATTTCATGAGGCACTAGCACTTTTTGACCGAGAAGGCAAAAGTCATTCTATGATTCTGTAGCATTGAGCCATGGCAATTAGAGCAGGGGTCCTGAAACTTTTTAAACAGAGGGCCAGGTCACAGTCCCTCAAACTGTTGGAGGGCCGGATTATGATTTGGGAAAAAGAAGAAGAATGAATTCCTATGCACACTGCACATATCTTATTTGAAATGCAAAAAATCCTTAAAACAATACAATAATTTAAATGAAGAACAATTTTAACCAATATACGATCTGAAGAGAAACCAGAGTAACCAATATAAACTAATTAGTATTTCAATGGGAAGTGTGGGCCTGCTTTTGGCTGGTGAGATATGATTGTTATTGTGTGCTTTCAAGTCGTTTCAGCCTTAGGTTGACCCTGAGTGAGGGCTGGGTAAATGACCTTGGAGGACTTTAGTTTGAGGACCCCTAATGTAGACAGGGTTAGTCCTAACCCTGCTATATGCCTGTGAAACGTGGACTGTCTAAAGACATCACATGCAACTCCTGGAATGATTCCATCAGTGCTGCCTCTGGAAAATCCTGCAAATATTTTAGGAAGACAGGTGGACAAATGTCAGCATGCTGGAAGAAGCAAAGACCACCAGCTTTGAAGCGATGGTCCTTCGCCATCAACTCCGCTGAACCGGCCAGGTTGTCCGGATGCCCGACCACCATCTCCCAAAGCAGTTGGTCTACTCCGAACTCAAGAACGGAAAACAGAATGTTGGTGGACAGAAAAAGAGATTAAAAATGGGTTCAAAGCCAATCTTAAAAACTCTGGCATAGACACTGAGAACTGGGAAGCCCTGGCCCTTGAGCGCTCCAGCTGGAGGTCAGCTGTGACCAGCAGTGCTGCAGAATTTGAAGAGGCACGAATGCAGGGAGAAAGAGAGAAATGTGCCAAGAGGAAGGCGCTTCAAGCCAACCTTGACCGAGACCGCCTTCCACCTGGAAACCAATGCCCTCACTGCGGGAGAAGCTAAAGATCAAGAATAGGGCTCCACAGTCACCTACGGACCCACCAGAACACTGATCCTGGAAGACTATCCTACTTGGCCAACGAGGGATCGCCTAAGAAAGTAAGTAATGTAGACATACCCTAGGATTCCAGAAGACCAGAGCAAATCTCATTGTTTTGGTATAGACAATTATAAGAAAGATATTGAATGGATAAGAAGACAGGCATCAATTGGAAAGGTAATGAAATAGATAATATTTTCTTCCAGTCCAAGGAAGAACAAATTGCAAAAGCCTATAAAATATTATTATAATCAGACAAAGAAGTCTATCTAATCAAAGATACTATGATTCAATGGTCAGAGAATTTGGGCCATAATATTCAACTAGACAAATGGGAAGAGATGTGAAAAACAAAGATTAAATTCACAAGATGCAATTTAATCTTATAAAAGAAAATTTATACAAGATGCTGTATAGATAGTACACAATGCCAGAAACATTAGCAAAGATAGAACCAAAATTTTAAAGATATTAGTTGGAAATGTCATGAAAAAAGGAACCTTTTACCCTATGTGGTGGACATGTCCTAAAGCAGAAAGAAAAAAGGGTAAAAAGAAGAAGAAAGAAAAATCTGGATTATAATTCATAAGAACACTGAAAACATCTTAAAAATTCAAATACCACTAGAGCCAGAAGTGTGTTTGGACTTACAAATTCAACAGTTCTAAAACAAATTCCTGGCGCTCTTTTTTTTACATGGTAACTGTAGCAAGAATGGTATATCCTTACTATCGGAAACAAGAAGAAATTCCCACCCAAGATTTATGGATTACAAACATGTTGGACACGGCAGATATGGACAAACTGACAAGGCAAGGAATAACAAGAAAAAAGAGAAGTTAGAGACTAATGATATTCAAGAGATCCTTGAAAGTTAATACACATTTTCTACTCCTACCTCATCCAGGGTTTTATCCTTTTATCATTTCTATTTGGCCTGCCATTGTGTTCAATTTTCTATTAAGCTATTTTGCTTTGTTTACTTTATTTTGCCACTGTATGTACTTTATTATGATGTAATTTTTGTTGTTGTATTTTGTACTTTATTTTTCTGTGTTGTATCTTTGGGCTTGGTCTCATGTTAGCCGCCCCGAGTCCCCTTTGGGGAGATGGCGGTGGGGTATAAATAAAGATTATTATTATTGTTGTTGTTATTATTATTATTATTATTATTATTATTATTATTATTATTATTATGTCATTAAAACTTCCCAGAAAACTTGAAAAAAGAACTTGAAGTAGAACTTAATGGAAAAGGATTAATGAAAGTAAAAGACTGAGATCTGAAAATGGCAAATATGGCAAGAATAAAAGAGGAATTAGGAAACTTAGACTGGTACAAGTATTTACAATTGGGTAAATGGTCAAGTGATATAAGGAAAAAGTATAATGGAGGTAGGGAATATACAAAAAAAGATGATAATTCAAAGGGAGACTAAAGAAGAGAATATAACATTAAAAGGCACAGTAAGTGATATTTATAAACTATTATTAATGAATGAACAAGAACAAGATTATTTGAAGGAAGTATGGGAATCAGACTTGGGGGAGGGGATGAATAATCATGAATGGGCAAACATATGGAATATGAGAATACTAAAAAATATGTCTATAAGAATTAAAGAAAATTACTACAAAATGATATGGAGGTGGTATCTGATTAAATCAGATTGATAAAAAATACTCAAATCAGTGCTGGAGAGGTTGTCAGGAAATAGGGACGTACCTTCATATGTGGTGGTCATGTAACATTATACAATTTTTTTGGGAAAGCATATTCAAAGAAATAAGAGCAATAATAAAAATAGAGACTGAGATTACACCAAAATTAGCATTATTACTTATACATGATAATATAATTCCCTTACAAGAGGAGAAAGATTTGGTCTCTAATTTGATAACAGTAACTAAATTGTTAATAGCAAAAAACTGGAAAGAAAAAAAATAAATTCAATTAGAGGAATGGTATAGGGAAATTTGGAATATAGTGATTAATGATAAGCTAACTTGCAACATTAAAATTAAAAGAGGAATATGTAAACAAACAGATTTTTGGAAAATATGGGGAAAATTTATTGAGTATGTGTTTAATGAGGGAAATTTAAAGATAATGACAAGAAATATGACTATAGATGTTTTTGATGTTTATTTACTAGGGCTGGGCGGTTTCGTTTCGTTAATTCGTAATTCGTTAAAAAATTCGTTAATTTTTCAATTACAAAACAATAATGAACCAGTCTGGAGCAATTTTTTTAAAAAACGAATTTTTAAATCGTTTCGTAAATGTTTTGTATTTCATTACTGTATTCGTTTCGTTATCGTTTTGAGGTCGTTTCGTTATTATTTCCGCATGTCTGGGGCAAGTTTTATAGTTGTTTTTGGTTTTCTAAGGGTTTTTATAGTTGTTTTTGGTTTAATTAAGCTTCAGAAGTTCCCCCTGTCCCATTTGGAGGTTTTTTAGCATATTGCGCGGTCGCGTCCGCCATTAACGAATCGATTCGTTATTGTTTTGTAATTTTTTCACATTTACGAAATTTCGTAAATATCGAACTTTTTTAAAGGAAAATTTTGTAATTATTTTAAATAACGAAACGCAAAAACCCCCAAAAAACGAATCGATTTTAGAAACAAATTTTTCCGTTGTTACCCAGGCCTATTATTTACTGTTAGATTGTATATAATATGACATACTCTTTTGTCTAGGAAAAAAACTTAAATAAAAATAAAATAAATTTTTTATTATTATTATTGACAAAAATGTTTTTTTTAAATTATGAAGAATACAGAAAAGTAGAAAGTGTTAGAGCTTTCTATTTTCCGTTTCACAACTTTTCTATCTCCTTTGTTTCAAAACACTTTACAGTGCTCTTTTCAATCCTTCCGTTTTAGATTACAAAAGATTTTCCCCTTTTTAACATCATAGAAACCGTTTTTTGTATTAGATAACAATAGAAGAAGATGAA